TACAGTTGGCCATATATATATATATATATATATATATATATATATATATACACACACACACACACATTTTACATACATTTAAAGGGAGTATTGCCTTAAATAAATTAAAATAACATTTTTTATATATTTTTAAATATATGTCAGGTAAACATAGCATTAAATAATAAATAAATAAATAATTATTTATTTATGAATGTTTTTATTTGTTATTTTACATATTTATTTTAAATAGCTAATTTTACTTACTCAAACTATTTACCTATAAATTATTTGTTTATTTAAATGTTTATACATTTATGTTTATTTTTTATTTATTTATAAATGAATGTATTAATTTATTTGATTTAATGATCTTATTGATTTAATTTCAGCAATAATTAAAGCATTATTGATTATTTACTTATTTTTTAAATTTTCATTTACGTATTCATAAATTTATATATGTTTATGCTTTTATGTATACATTTAATAATTTATTTAGTTATTCATTATTTATTGATAAATGTACATTTATATATTGATATTTAAAATTATATTTATTTATGCATTTGTTTATGCAGCTAGTTAATCAGTTATTTACTTTTTTATTTATTTATTTATAAATGAATGTTTTTTAATTGTTTTATTTTCAGCAACAAGTACATTATTTATAATTTTTTGTTATAATTTTACTTGTTTTAATAAATTTTAATTCATTTACTTATATATTTATTTATAAAGTTATTTAGTTCGTTTTTTTTTATTAACTTGTTTTATTTATTTATTTATTTATACTTTTTAGTTATATATTTTTATTTACATGTTGATTTATTCAGTGAATCAGTTATTTACTTATTTACACATTTATATTTAATTTTGTTAATAAATATATAATAATATAATATATAATAAATAAATATGTATTATATATAATTCGGCGTTTTGTCTGTCCCTGTTCTCCAGATATTGACATTGCTATTAAAACCCATGCCAGTCCATCACTGCTTCAGTGTCCAGGTGTCTGTGTGTGTGTCATGTAATGCGTGCATGAAAGTGGATGAATCAGAATAATCTGCAGTAACTGGATCTCTCCTCTACTGCCTTTCTAAATTTGTTCCAGTTAATGCAATTCCAGCATTTTTAGGCCTCTTTTCCTCTCCCGTCCTCCTGTGAGCAGTGTAAACAGCTTTTCCCATTAACACTGGACAAAAGAGGCTGAGCTCTCCTCTTCAAACACATCGCTCCCTTTCCTCTGCTGG